TAGAGGGAGATACGTTCGGACAGATACACTGGACCGGAACCTAACCTTAGGCTTGCATGTGTTTGGCCCTTCTCTCCCGGCAGGAAGCCCGGATGAGTGCCAAGGTGGCCTTGCGCCAGAAGGCCCTCCAAGTCCAGCTGGACCTCAGAAGGTATGCGTGGCTTTGATACCTACATGTGATGTCTGGAAATGGGGTAGAGAAGGGTTCTCGGCTGCAATCCCTCCACCTGCCGCACTCAGTTCCCGCTCTCTTTGCTTTGCGCAGGTTCCGGATCTACTCCAACCAGTCGGCCCTCGAATCCTTGGCGGTAAGTGCAAGTGGTCAGAAGTGGCAGGTGGTGAAGGAAGGCCAGGGATGAGGGGCCTCTTCAAAGGGGCTTAGAGGGCAGAGCCAGGGGCCCCTTGGTTAGCAAATCTCCTTCTATTTGAGTTGGGGACTGCTTCTGTGGCAGCCATTAGGAGAAAAATAAAATAATTATAATTTAAATGAATTTAAATTGAACAAGTCTTACCTTAGTGCTGACGTTTGAAAAGGAGATTTTCAGAGTGAGGGAAAATCAGCAGATGGTATGAATCAAGAGGTCGGGGTGGCATGTTCCATAAACAAATATTTGAAGGTTGACTTTAGGCTAAACATAGAGACCTGGCGCTTAAGGTAAATCGATATCCATTGATCCAAGACTGGAACATCTAAGGCCATATAGTAAGAGAGCACCATCTCCTGTCTATTTAATGTAAATAGCAGGCAATTTTAGATATTTTTATTTTAAACAAATTCTCTGGGTTTTCATATTAACAACTAAATAATTGAGGCTGAATCTAACTAAAAGGAGATTGCTTTAATACACTTTTATGTTATAAATATATAAAACTATAAATCCTTAAGAGATCAAGGAAGTTAAGTACCAATTGAACATGTCATCTGGAAATAAGGGGTAGAAAGTTAATAATTATATAAATTGGGCAAATGTTTGTCATCATGACCTTGCCAAGGGAATGTTCTTGGCAACTATACATGAAGGACACCTGTTAATGATTGTACTGTGTAAATGTCAAGACATTTCTGCGCATGTATGAACCAGTGGTTTTCTGCTATAAATATTGAAGCAAGTCTGACTTCCAGTGTGTGTCAGATATTGCTTTCTGAACGCCCTATCGAGCTTGATAGTAAATGCCTGAAATCAACTGCTGTCTCCGTTTCCTTCCTTTCTGATTGTGCTCTAAATGATCTCGGGTAACGTATGT